CCCCAAAACCCCAAAACCCCAAAACCCCAAAACCCCAAAACCCCAGGCCAAATAAAATAAATTGGGAATATGAGCAAAGTATTATATAATAAAGAAATAAATAATTTAGCTGAGATTGGGTAATCTTGGTAAACTCTGGGCTGAGCGGCATGGAATAGTCCTGTTTTCTATAGACACCAAATTACTCATAAGTTCACAAGAGTTTAGGGAGGTTGAAATACTTCCTTCTAATTAAAATCTACTGAAGCTCCTTCGAAAGGTGAATAACTTACTGTTAAATATTTTCTTTTTATATCGAGAAACATCACGAATTGTTTTGTTCATAATCATTTTTAATGCTTTCGTCGATGGGACAGGCCGAGGAGCAGGAGGAGCATTTGGCTTCCTCTTTATAGAATTTTTCCTAATGTACGAGGATTTTAAATCGCTTTCTACATGCATAACTTAATAAGGAGTACCTTTTGTGCTATCAGTCTCTCCTTCACTTTCGGTGTTTCAGTACTTGGATAAGATTTCCATCTTTTTTTCCTCCTGAAACTTTAGATGGGGAGAGTGAAGTAAATCACATTGGTTGCTGTATCTCTTATTTGCTGTTTTCTCCAGAGCTTGGAACTAAATATCAATAAGAATATTATGTCACAAAATAGTGCAAACAAGGTGAACAATTTGGTCTGGAGACCCAGAGCACAATAGTTTAGAACTGAGGTTATATGATGGTAGCTCCTTAAAACTAGCTATTTAAACAGAAATCAGTGTTTACTTTAGGAATTGGGAATTTGTGACCTTGGGAGTCAGAGAAAATCTCTTGTGGATATTCCTGAATCGTTTCCAATGTTGGACTCAGAATATTTTTCGGAATCGATTGAAAGCTTCTTGTACCTCTGTATTTTAAATTAGAATCAATGTAAGACTAGTCAGATTTTAATGAGAAGTGTACGTTACCTTCTTAAAAGTCTCCCTGGTCTGAATTTTTTAGAAGTAGCTTTAAGGCCTAGAAAGATTGCACTCATTAGTTTACCTTTGGGACTTATTGTATGTTGAAGATTCTCTAAAGCAGAACTAGACAACTCTTTGAGATTCTTTTTATCTTTTTCGGGACACTTATCATTCGACCAGAAATTATTTTTCAACTAGATATGCAAATTAGAAAGAAGTATTTATTTTCATTTAACAGTCCTTTGCAAAAATTGTTATGGTAAGTAATCTACAAACCAATCTATTCCCTAAACTGCCATTTATTATACAAAATTAATTGAAGTTGTATAAACAGGTTGATATCTTTACTATATGAACTCAGACTAAAAATAAAAAATTAACGTCAACTGTTCTGAAGAATATTTACATTTTGGATCTCGAAGAACCAACTGATTCTTTTTCTTTATCCGAATAATTTTAGAGCTACGCTTCCGATCACCCGATGTAGTGGTGTTATTTAAATTCCGGTCTCACTTGTTTTCATCATTACTATAAGCAAAGTTAGTTAAGAAATTCTAGAAATATTTCCAAAACATGCATGATTCAGGCATTTGTTAACACTGGAAAATTCATTTCTGGTATTGGTGTAACAACAGGAAAGAAGGCTTCTGAACTTATGAGTAGACAACCTATAGCCTAATCGAAGGAGACAATATCAATGATTATTCATCTCAAAGCTAAAGATTCTTGAAGATTTTACAGAAATAACCTACCTTGCTTCGATCTCAACTTCTGGCTGAGCAAGGTATGTTTTGGATACCTTTGGCTTAAAGACTATCAATTTTTTGCCTAGCTTCATTTTTATCTTAATATTATTATCCTGAGTACTCTCTTATCACCTGGGGTTTTGGGGTTTTGGGGTTTTGGGGTTTTGGGG